GTTAATAATTTGTCATGCTGAAGAGGACCTGAGGTCAGGTCGAAATATTCATGTTTTAATAAAATAGTGTTCTAAAGTCTACTCCGTTTCCTGTTTTTCTTTCTTATTTATATATAATATATATTATATTATTATATATAATATCTAGGCCATTATGTCCTTAAGTTTTAGCAGTGATATAATATTGTTGAAAATTACATTACGCAAGTCATTTTACCCTAGTTTTCCTTTTGTACAACATTGCATAAAGTGTAGTTTAGACCAAACGCGTAGTTCAATTTGTGGTAGATAGAACGAATTTGTAGGTTCTATCAAGCGTCAATATACTGAGTTTTTATCATGGTCTTATGACGTGAATTTAGTGTGCGTGTTATTCGGGGATAACATTCAGCGGTCCATCCTCCCACGCCCACTCTCGTAGCAAAGACTTGAGTTCGATATCACAAATTCGACCTGAGGATAGTTCTACATAGATGTACTTAGAGTCACCAACATCAATCTATAATCATTGTAAAAGAAAATGTGGTATTAGTTTGGACTGATATATGATGAGGAAAATATTTATTCAGCCTAGTCATGGAACAGTTAAATTAACTGTTCCCTGGCCTAGTAAAATAAGATAAACGAGGCTACCGGCCAACCGAATCTTAAAACAAGTATACTAGCTGCAAAAAAAAATGAGAGAATTCAAAATATTCGGAATTTTAGAGTCAAAACTCCAATAAACTTACATTATTTGTAAAATAAACATCTTTTTAATACAATGCTGTCAATAATGTTTAACCATGTTAACTACTTTTTCCATTGTATTCTATGTTTTGTATTCATAATTCTATTCAAAAAAATGAGCTAACGAAACTATATTACAGCTTATAATTGAAAATAAAAACCAAGTTTATAAGTCTTCACAACCTTAACACAGTAATTTGTCATTCCCTTCTTGCGAGAGTTTTGGTCCCAAAATTTGGTTGCCTGAAAGGTCGAATATTTAGCTTGTGCCAGCTCTTCGAATTCATTCTTTACCTGTACAATAATAATATAAAGAAATAATCTGAAAGTTAAGCCCTGTCCAGACTATCATGACTGTACGTTGATCATGGACTTTACGTTGATAGCCATACAGTAGCAGACAAGATGTTTGTTAGCGTCTGGACAGAGCTTTATGATACTAAGAATAACTTGTAAATATATGGTGTTTGCCTGGACCCTGAGACAAGGTGTGTGATATATTTTGACAGTTGGTACAATCAGTATCTGGACATAGAGGATTATCTGTTACAGACATCACGTGAAAAGGCAGTCCAAAAAGCGTACGTACGTCTTAATAACCCATGAGGCGTACATACGACTTATAAGGCGTACGTACGCCTTAATAAGGCGTACGTACGGGTTAGGATAAGAAAATAATAAAAAAATTCACCATGTCCATTAGACAGCTTCGTATCTACTTTTAAGAAATAACCCGTCGAAGAATATTTTACATTGTGTATTTGTTGGGCGTAATTTTACCGACCTGGGCATTTTGAAATTGTTCTGCGCAGGTAGCTTTTCCAATCCAAAAACGATTTTTCTTTCCATCGTTAGGAATGGATACTGGGGTGTTGGTTACGGATGTCACATAAGCCAATGAGAGGCCAATGAGAAAAAAACAAGGCTTTTTTCCTATCTAATTAATATTGCGCTCTGTAATGCCAAAGAAGGAAAACGACGCATTCGTGACTACACTATTAAGAAGATAAAAATAATACTTTTTAAATAATCCAGTATTGTGTTACACTTATAAACGGCATTTAAAAATATAATTTTCCTTACAATAATACATTGAAACCAGATGAAATTATTTGATCAGTTACAATAGTTGCGCTATACTATCAAAGAGAAAATAATAAAAGGGAAAAATGCATTTCCCAAGACCAACAAAATATGCCGGAGGTATTTTTGTCTAATAAATGTTTCAGACCATAAAATTAAACATTATTTGTAAATTTATATGTTTGATACATTGGCCAATTCAACTAATTGTTAACTTCTTGCTTTTTAATTTCGCTTTTGTCATATTTTTTCACTTTATAATGAATTTGACGTTAATTCCTCGTATACAATTTCGTCAGTGATATAACGCATGGGGTCTAAACCGGGCGTCGGATTATATAGGCGCCAATATGACTTACTCGTTCAAAACCATCGGACCTCGTAGGCCAAGTGGGGCCTTTTATTCTCATTAAAAATACATGAAAAAACGCCAATAAAACGTCAAAAATCGCTGGACAAGACGGTGATTCACCCTTCCCCCACCCCTCATCTGTTCTACATGGCCCCGGCGAATTAGGGCACGGCCACGAATGTGCCGTGATTCATCATTAACAAATTCTGAAAGCTCTTAAAGTGTATGTTTTGTGTAGTTATTTTGCTTACCTAAATGACTCTAAGCAAATATAAGCCCACGCTGGATTAGAATTAATTGAATACAACCCTAGATAGAGTCTATGCGATTTCATTTAATAAGTGCTAGGACAAAAATAAATAAATACCAAGAAAAAAATGTCACTGATCATGCCGACAGCGCTAGTGATAGAAAAAAAAAAAAAAAAAAAAAAAAAAAAACAAATTAAAACAAAAAAAAAAAAAAAAAAAAAAAGCAATTTAAACCATGAATCAGTAAAAAGTCTACGGTACTTCATGTGATCAGAGCCAAAAAAATCGACACTGAAAATAGGGCTATAGCTTTCCTACCTGTGTTACCATTCGTTGTACAGACTCGGTAGCTGCCTGACTTGGTTGACTCCAGCCGCCTGGGACAGTCCGATTACCGTAGGATGACATTGAGATAAGCCTCGCCAATAACACTTAATAATAATGTTTGTATTAATATTGAACTTAGTTCCTGCTCTAAGCACCTACTATGTAGTAATAGCAACGATGTACATTTGTAGACTTTTAGAAAAACATGCAAAGCAAATAGGCTATAGATGAAGGAACTGATTACCTTATGTAAACAAAACGTACAATATTCTATAGGAAAGGTGAACAATAATATCCCTCGAGTCAATCTGAGTGATGCATTATTTAGGGTTATTATTTCATTATAATCTATTCATTCGTTGGGGTTACAATTTAATAGCACGACATTTCTGACGTCATGCATTATCGCTAATGAGTAGTAGTAGTACTTAGATGTATTTCTTATTACTTATTTCCGTGCAAAAATAAAAAATAAATAACATGCACTTGGTCTATACACGATAGAGAAAAATGACCAAATGCAAAATACAGTTATACACATTGACATAGCTAGACCTATGATTGTCCGCAATGCTACCGGTACATAATGAAACAATTATTATTAGGCCTACCTTCTTATCAACAAAGATAGGCCTCGGACTAACTAACATCCCGGCCGAGATCGGTCACACAATGGACTCAATACTAGATTGAAATAATACAGGGCAACACTACTAACAATTTTAAAATGTTATTATACAACTATTATTATTTAAAACAATGTTATTATTTGTATCAGAGATGAAAGGTATAAAGCCGTTCATTAAGACTGATATAATATTCAGAATTCAAGGGCAATGCGACTTTGAAAAAAAAAAGAAGAGGATTCAGGCCTATTTCACGGAAATGATGGCGGATTAATCCAGGTTGGTTCGTTGTAACAAGATAAATATTTGAGTGTTTGAATACCTGTATTTGAATTCTGAAAAGTGGATTGGTTTATTCCACAATTTATGGATGTGGATGCAAAAGGGACCATTAATTTTGCTTCGCACATGTACTAGAGGATTGTATATGTTATAAGGTTTGCTTGTTTTTGTTTTTGTTTTTGTTTTTGTTTTTTTTTTTTTTTTGCTTTTTTGTTTTTGTTTTGTTTTTTTTGTTTTGTTTTTGTTTTGTTTTTGTTTGTTTGTTTGTTTGTTTGGTTTTTTTTTTGTGAGAGGATATTATATTAGGTTTAAAAGGACAGTGATTTCTATCACACTGATCTTTTATTGTGTAATAGCTAATGTAGTTGGTTGACAATCTAATACAGATTATGCTAAGTACAGCATTCCAGGCCGTTTCTTCATGAGAATATGGGATTATTTACCTATTAATAATAAAGATTTGTTTGTGATAGTTGGGGTACTTTCAAAGGGAAAATTAAATATTATTTTAGATAATTTCGTTCCATGGGATTGTTAATTGCTTTTCCTTCAATCGTATATCTTTAGGCTTTTATAGTTTTTATTTATTTATTTATTTTTTTATTAATTATTATAATAAGAACAAATATTTGATAAATCTATTTATTTTTTGTATTAATATTTAATCTTGACTTTTCATTGTTATATTGGCAAATTTCTTTTTTATTTAATTTGTGTTTTTATGTTGAAATTGGAGTTTGAGAGGCACACCATATCCGGTAATAGTAGTTCTGTAGCTTTTGACACTCGCCCTTATCCTTCTTTCTTTGTTCCTTTTGTTTTGTTTGTTGTAGGCCTACTGTGCTGAAAGGAATAACATAAAATAAAATATTTATTCATATTGTTATTCACTTTGCTTTGTAAGTGTTATGGATTAGGGTTAATGAATAGTGTAAATCGAATACTTTTAATGAATAGTCAGAATAAAACCTATACTGTAGTATCAGAGTAGATAGAGAGAGTTTGGCCGACATTGCGCCATGCGCCAAGCAAGTGGGCCAAACTCTTGCGGCGGCGGCGTAGTATGAATAATTATAGCGCCATCTATAGAATGAATGTTCAATATACGTACGACGTACCAAGAATTGAAGGTGATTTGTTGTCAACATGGCGTTTGGCTTTTATTCGCTCTTAGAAGCAGGACTTTTAATTATAAATGCAATTGCCGTTTTACATGAAGAACGATTTTTAAGTAAAGGTTAGTCAGTAATCTCATTGTCAGGTGCTAACTTACATTGTTTTGCAGTGGGATTTAGGTACTTGTTTATTTCTAGGCCCAAATGATCTCTTCCTCTTGAATCTTCTCATATTATAGATGGACCTACAGTACTTCTCTAGGCCTTAGCCAAGGACTTGAGGCTGTAGTACTACTTGGTGTCAGAGGGAGGGCTAGGCTAACTATGTCTCTTCGATCTCCACAAAAGCTGATCACCATTTTGGGTATGACACGTCATATTCCAGGTTAACGGTGTTCCAATTTAAGTTAATTGTGAGTAGACTTGGTTGGTTGGCTATGATCCCAACAACTTTCAGTAGTACCATTACTATATTTAATGGAGTATGGTCAAAGCGGCCGAAATTGAGATACGGTATTAGTAGGCCTAGCATTCATATCCATTGATATCATACTCGTCAATATATTTTCCTTCAACAGTAATGATACAGTAGGACAAATACTGTATAGTCTGTAAAACCAGAAAATTTCGCGCGCATTAAACTTTTGCGAATGGTCCAGATTCGCGAAAATTTTATGCCGCAAATAATTTTCAGGTCACGTTCTAATGTTTCAAAAAGATCGGTAGAATACTCTCTAATCATTGTGAATCTCGAATCAGTTTCACAAAGGAAATTTTGATCATTATAAATCACAAAATTACACCAAAAATTAATTTCAACTTTTTTAAAGATGATAATGAACAATAAACAGCAAGAATTGTCGGTCTTTCAATGCCTAAACTCACCGACGACGATACAATACAGATCTAGGGCCTAGGCCTAAATGGGGAATCCCCACAAAAAAGCTAACAACTTCAACATTTTACAAATTGTATTTTAAATTATTTTGTGGAGTTTATTAAATGTGTATAAACTTAATAGAATGTATTTCAATTCTTGGATAAATATTCTGACCTGAAATTCCGATGTTGAGCTAAAAAAAATTGAAAATTCTAGGCCTATTCTAACCTACTCAGTAAGTATACTGATCTGGGAGGTTCTGATCATCACTGCATGTGATTGCACATATGCAACCACTGCGCAATATATACGTACTAAGAAGTTAAAATAGAATCTAATTTTTGTACCTTGACATACTGTACCACGATGTTCAGTCATCACCGATCAATGTGTTTGAATCAACTACAGGAATAAATATTGTTCATTGTGGGATGCTTGAATGCCATACAAAATTTAGGAATATCGTATGAGTGAGTATTGTAATGTATGTAAACTTGCGTTTTTCTTAACTGTGCCTGGGATGGCTAACTACTGTAAGTCCTGATCCTAGCACCTGAGGTAGGCTGCAGGCTTATGGCGCCTAGCCTAGGCATAGCTATTGTAGCTTAAACAGTGGCTGTAGGCCTATCTAACCTAGGACTAGAACTCACAATACAATATTTTTAGCTATTGAATGGTATTCCTCTCATAAATAAAATTTAGGCCTTTTGCAATTCGCGAAAGTTTAATGTCGCAAAAACGGCCGAAATTATCAATTTGCGAAAGTTTCGTTCCGCGAAAGTTTCTGGTTTTACAGGGTATTGAAAATTCAATATTTTTTATTCTGCTTTTATTTGATCAAATGTTTCAAAATAAAGATAAATCACTAAATTCCAATGTGTGTTCACATCATACCCATATTTTCAGACATTTTCAAATCAAATTTTAAGTTAACAAACATTTTTCTTTGGACATTACCTACAGTAATCCAATACAGTTGAGTTCAGGATTACAGTAACACACTGGATCAAAAAAGACTTAACTACAAATGACATGACAATCTCTGAGAAGCTTATTTTTTCACGCCGAGAGGCCAAAATTGCAGGGAAAATCATTAGGAAAATACTGTAGGTGTGCAAACATGCTTCACCAAAAGATGCATACAATGTACCACAACTTTCATCTAAAATTAAGTGTTTAACATGTTAAAGTAAAATAGGCCCCGTTTTGCTGTTTTTGTTGCGTTTACAGTACATCTGCAATTGCTCAACAAAGAAAGTCAAAATTTTCAGTCTGGTTAGGTACGCTAACTAAGCTACATGTAGGTCTATCTAGCCTGGATTTAAAGACCAATTAAAATGATGCATTTTGAGTTGCTGATAATTGAAGTATTGCATATGTTTATCAAAGGAGTAGTAATAAAATTCTTATTTTTTGGTTTATAAATATTAAAAATTAGTATTAAAAATATTCGTATAAGCCCCGCCTACTGAAGATGGTCAGTGAAGCGTGAGTAGAGCTGATGACGTACACTCGGTATAACATCCACAGCAATACCGAAATTGTATAGCGCGACACATGAAAGAGGAAAGCAAGCAAAGAAATGGAGCAGTTTGAGCCATACCAATTTGAGCCACTAGAAAGTGATTTTGAACACGAAACACCTGAAGACCAGGCTTTGATTGAAAAGCAAAATCGATTAGGCAACACTAACTGGTACTGTAACTTAAACTTTACGAATTGAGTACTACACTACTGTGTTTAGGACTACAGAATCCATAAAAATAGGTGATTTAAAACTTGTTTTTCAGAAAAACTCATTATCTAAAAATAAAAGGAAAGCCACACATTTGTTTATTATATAATTCTTTATTGTTTTATGACATTTTGAAAGTAACAAGAATATGTCATTTTAGATGGTCTTTAAAGAGAGCATTTTATACAGTAGTTAAAAAATATACCTACAGTATAACACAGCAATAATCTGGTCTAGGCTTTTGGCGTGAAGGCCGCAAAGTAGATGTAGGCCTCACATACTGTAACTCAAACATTAAGAAAGTTAAGTGGCTGATAACTGAGAGTGGGAATCAGTCATGCCTGGGTGGGGTGTGGGAGGGGTGTGGGGTTTGCCACTAAATTTTTAATTTCAATGCATATCAATGTTACTGTATGTAAGAAGTAAGCACTACTTACTACTCTATTTTGACAATGTTGTATATCTGTCTCTTATACACATCTTTCATTGTGGGATGCTTGAATGCCATACAAAATTTAGGAATATCGTATGAGTGAGTATTGTAATGTATGTAAACTTGCGTTTTTCTTAACTGTGCCTGGGATGGCTAACTACTGTAAGTCCTGATCCTAGCACCTGAGGTAGGCTGCAGGCTTATGGCGCCTAGCCTAGGCATAGCTATTGTAGCTTAAACAGTGGCTGTAGGCCTATCTAACCTAGGACTAGAACTCACAATACAATATTTTTAGCTATTGAATGGTATTCCTCTCATAAATAAAATTTAGGCCTTTTGCAATTCGCGAAAGTTTAATGTCGCAAAAACGGCCGAAATTATCAATTTGCGAAAGTTTCGTTCCGCGAAAGTTTCTGGTTTTACAGGGTATTGAAAATTCAATATTTTTTATTCTGCTTTTATTTGATCAAATGTTTCAAAATAAAGATAAATCACTAAATTCCAATGTGTGTTCACATCATACCCATATTTTCAGACATTTTCAAATCAAATTTTAAGTTAACAAACATTTTTCTTTGGACATTACCTACAGTGTGAATCTCGAATCAGTTTCACAAAGGAGATTTTGGTCATTATAAATCACTAAATTACACCAAAAATTAATTTCAACTTTTTTAAAGATGATAATGAACAATAAACAGCAAGAATTGTCGGTCTTTCAATGCCTAAACTCACCGACAACGATACAATACAGATCTAGGGCCTAGGCCTAAATGGGGAATCCCCACAAAAAATCTAACAAACTTCAACATTTTACAAATTGTATTTTAAATTATTTTGTGGAGTTTATTAAATGTGTATAAACTTAATAGAATGTATTTCAATTCTTGGATAAATATTCTGACCTGAAATTCCGATGTTGAGCTAAAAAAAATTGAAAATTCTAGGCCTATTCTAACCTACTCAGTAAGTATACTGATCTGGGAGGTTCTGATCATCACTGCATGTGATTGCACATATGCAACCACTGCGCAATAAATACGTACTAAGAAGTTAAAATAGAAACTAATTTTTGTACTGTACCTTGACATACTGTACCACGATGTTCAGTCATCACCAATCAATGTGTTTGAATCAACTACAGGAATAAATATTGTTCATTGTGGGATGCTTGAATACCATACAAAATTTAGGAATATCGTACTGTATGATTGAGTATATTGTAATGTATGTAAACTTGCGTTTTTCCTGTGCCTGGGATGGCTAACTAAGTCCTGGTCCTAGCACCTGAGGTAGGCTGCAGGCTTATGGCGCCTAGCCTAGGCCTACTGTAGCTATTGTAGCCTAGACAGTGGCTGTAGGCCTATCTAACCTAGGACTAGAACTCACAATACAATATTTTCAGCTATTGAATTGTATTCCTCTCATAAATAAAATTTAGGCCTTTTGCAATTCGCAAAAGTTTAATGTCGCAAAAACGGCCGAAATTATCAATTTGTCAAAGTTTTGTTCCGCGAAAGTTTCTGGTTTTACAGGGTATTGAAAATTCAATATTTTTTATTCTGCTTTTATTTGATCAAATGTTTCAAAATAAAGATAAATCACAAAATTCCAATGTGTGTTCACATCATACCCATATTTTCAGACATTTTCAAATCAAATTTTAAGTTAACAAACATTTTTCTACGGACATTACCTACAGTAATTCAATACAGTTGAGTTCAGGATTACAGTAAACACACTGGATCAAAAAAGACTTCTACAAATGACATGACAATCTCTGAGAAGCTTACTGTATTTTTTCATGCCGAGAGGCCAAAATTGCATGGAAAATCATTAGGAAAATACTGTAGGTGTGCAAACATGTTTCGCCAAAAGATGCATACAATGTACTGTACCACAACTTTCATCTAAAATTAAGTGTTTAACATGTTGAAGTAAAGTAGCCTCAGTTTTGCTGTTTTTGTTGCGTTTACATCTGCAATTGCTCAACAAAGAAAGTCAAAATTTTCAGTCTCGTTAGGTACGCTAACTAAGCTACATGTAGTTCTATCTAGCCTGGATTTAAAGACCAATTAAAATGATGCATTTTGAGTTGCTGATAATTGAAGTATTGCATATGTTTATCAAAGGAGTACAGTAGTAATAAAATTCTTATTTTTTTGGTTTATAAATATTAAAAATTAGTATTAAAAATATTCGTATAAGCCCCGCCTACTGAAGATGGTCAGTTAAGCGTGAGTAGAGCTGATGACGTACACTCGGTATAACATCCACAGCAATACCAAAATCGTATAGCGCGACACATGAAAGAGGAAAGCAAGCAAAGAAATGGAGCAGTTTGAGCCATACCAATTTGAGCCACTAGAAAGTGATTTTGAACACGAAACACCTGAAGACCAGGCTTTGATCAAAAAGCAAAATCGATAAGGCAACACTAACTGGTAACTTAAACCTTACGAATTGAGTACTACACTACTGTGTTTAGGACTACAGAATCCATAAAAATACTGTAGGTGATTTAAAACTTGTTTTTCAGAAAAACGCATTATCTAAAAATAAAAGGAAAGCCACACATTTGTTTATTATATAATTCTTTATTGTTTTATGACATTTTGAAAGTAACAAGAATACTGTATGTCATTTTAGATGGTCTTTAAAGAGAGCATTTTATACAGTAGTTAAAAAATATACCTACAGTATAACACAGCAATAATCTGGCCTAGGCTTTTGGCGTGAAGGCCGCAAAGTAGATGTAGGCCTCACATACTGTAACTCAAACATTAAGAAAGTTAAGTGGCTGATAACTGAGAGTGGGAATCAGTCATGCCTGGGTGGGGTGTGGGAGGGGTGTGGGGTTTGCCACTAAATTTTTAATTTCAATGCATATCAATGTTACTGTATGTAAGAAGTAAGCACTACTTACTACTCTATTTTGACAATGTTGTATA